CCTGGGTGGAACGCGTGAGCGGGAGTTGCCAGAGTTCATAATACCAGGCTGGCGATTGGATGCTAAGACCGCCTAGCAACCAATCACTGAGCAGCTCCCACCCCCGCCCTCCATCCAACACTATGCTGTCTCCTGCTCTTTGCTGCAGGTAACATCAGAGAGGCCAAGACTGGGGGGAAACAGAGTCACGGTCGTGACCTGTCAGCTCTCCATGGTCGACAGGTCGATTATGATTGATGACTTGCCGACCCCCATTGTAAGGTATGTCCCTTGTGCTTTTTATGCTTTTGATTTTAGGTAAACAAATTTTTCATTTTTTACATGTAAAAATCTACATTTGTGGCTATAAAATTACTTAAAACCCCCAGAACATTATATATGCTCTGAAAGCAGAGGCCCTAGAGATGTAAAAAGATAGCAGTTGCAATTAAATTAATTTTAGTGTTAGCAAGAACAAAATATTAAAATAAGATACCAAACATGTCAAGTCCCAAAATTACAGTATGTATGCCCATGATATCGCAAAAAATTACGGAACCTAGAATTCTCCGTAGACAATGCTTTAGAAGCCTTTACAACTCATCAGTAAAAATTACCCATGAATTATGGCCCTAGAATTAGTGATGTCACTCCAACATTTGTGGCAATACATCACATGTGTGGTGCAATCGCGATCTACATACACTTATGCACCCTGTGCTAGCATTAGCATTTGTTGGGTGTGTGCTGGGTCACAGGGGTTATATTTAACCTCTTTATTAGTATTATTACATTTTATTTTTTTCATTCTATTTCTATCACAATGGGGAAAGGGGAGGGGTGACACACCACCTGCACTGTAAACATCATCAGGCAGCTATACACTTTTACATTATATCTGGGAGCTGGTTGATCAAAACAATAACAAACTCCAGTATGTCAAGGGATGAAGTAGTTAAATGACATGCTTGGGGGATGTCCTTAACCTACCTGTGAAATGGTACACCTGTACAGTGTATTCAACCGACTACAGCCAAATTGACGTTTACAGATAAGAGTAGCACCTAAATTTCTGGCAAATGACAGCTTCAGCCTTTTCATCTATACCAGACCCTTAGCCTAGATGATTAGATGAGGGTCTGATATTGAGTAGATGTCAATGGAGGACCCCTGCACAAAAAATGGTGTGGGGTTTCCCCTAAAAATATATACCAGACTCTTATACTTTATGAGGGTCTGCTATGGGTGTGAAGAGGGACCATGCATCACTGCTCCCTGCCACCAAACTTTTAGAACATTTTTTTGGGCTTTGGTACATGTTCCCTAGGGCAGTGCCCTAGCCACCCCCATACCATTTGTTTGAAAATCCCTTGCCTATTTGCCTATAAAATTGACTTCAATGGAGTTTGGATTTGGCACCCAAACTTTAGTCATGCTGCCCCCAATCAAACACGGGTATGTTTGGCTCATCCTTAGCCATGACAATTCAAGCCTTGGGGGTGGTAGAAAATGTGACTTCTGGATGGAGAGCTACACATATGAAATGGCAGTTGCGACAAAACGTGGAACAGTGGATTTATAAACTTGATACCCTAAAACCAAGATGTGTGAATATTGAGCTGAACCTCAATAGCTTCTTAGTTGACTTGCCCTAGTGGTGTGAGCCGGAGAGATAAAAAAATATTTGGTACACTATTTCTTAGTTCCTTGGCCTCTTGCACATAGGGATGGGGGTACTGAGTTCTGTCTTCATTTGGCTGGGACCCTTGGGATGTGTGTTGAAAGAGTCTCCCCTTCTGGAGACTGCTAAAGGAAAAAGTACTTGAGGAAGCATCTGCAACTGCCCTCCCAACTCTAAATAGTAACTTGAACAAGTTAAAGAATAAAAACGTAATTTGCATGATGTTGTATGTTAAAAACCCTCAAGTAACAGTAAAACATACATGTATATAGTGCTATTTTGTCTTCTATTTTTTAACACTTAGGGGGTTATTCACTAAAACTAGAGAGTGCAAAATCTGATGCAGCTCTGCACAGAAACCAATCAATTTCCAGGTTTAATTGCACCCGATTCTGAGCACACCAGTTTTAGTAAATTTCCCCTTATTGTCTAAACAACTTCAACTAATAAAAACACCCAAAACTTTACCCAAAATAAACAAATGAACATTAAGAACGTAAAGAAGATATTAAGGAGCTATTCAAACCCATTAAAAGCCTTAAAACAACCATACACCACCTTAGGCCTCCAACATTTCACCTATTGATTTAACTGTATTTGAAAGCACGCGCACATCACTCCCATATTTAAAAAACCCTCCCTGGATCCCATTGACCTGAACAACCTTAGACCCAACTCCCTGCTGCCATTTACATCCAAACTCCTAGAGCGCTTAGTCTACAATCGCCTGAGTTCCCACCTTTCCGACAACAACCTCCTTGATTCCCTACAGTCTGGCTTCCGCCCCCCCTACACTCCACCGAAACTGCTCTACTAAAACTCACCACGACCTGCTAACCGCCAAATCTAATGGCCACTATTCAGTGCTCCTACTCCTCGACCTCTCTGCGGCTTTCGACACAGTTGACTACCCCCTCCTCAAAAAAAAACTTCACTCTCTTGGCCTCAGAGACTCCGCCCTCTCCTGGCTCCCTTCCTATCTATCACAGCGCTCCTTCAGCGTTACCTACAATGATGCCACCTCCTCTTCACTCCCCCTCTCTGTTGGGGTCCCTCAAGGTTCTGTCCTTGGGCCCCTTCTCTTCTCCATCTACACCTCCTCCCTTGGCCAATTGATATACTCTCACGGCTTCAACTATGCCAACGACACGCAAATCTATCTATCTACCCCTCACCCCTTCAGTCTCCACCCATAACACAAGCCTACTGAGCGACATATCGGATTGGATGTCACTCCACTTCCTCAAACTAAATCTTTCCAAAACTGAGCTCCTAGTTTTCCCCCCAGCCTGCGCCCCTCCTGACTTCTCCATCAAGACCAACAACACCACCATCAGTCCCTCCCCTCAAGCCAGAGTACTAGGTGTCATCCTAAACTCCAATCTGTCCTTCCAGCCCCAAGTCCAATCGCTGACTAACTTATGTAGACTTCACCTCCGCAACATCTCCAAAATACGCACGTTCCTAACTCCAGAAACTACAAAGCAACTCATTCACTCCCTTATCATATCATGACTTGACTATTGCAACTCCCTCCTCACTGCCTTACCCTAACACAGGCTATCCCCGCTTCAGTCCATCTTGAATGCTGCGGCCAGACTCATCCACCTCACAAACTGCTCCGCCACCCCCCTCTGCCAATCCCTCCACTGGCTTCCGATTGCCCAACGGATAAAATTCAAAATGCTAACATTGACATACAAAGCTGTTCATAATACTGCCCCAAACTACATCACCAATCTTGTATCCAAATACCATCCAAAATGTACTCTCCACTCCTCACAAGACCTCCTACTTCCTAGTTTCCTAGTCTCCTCCTCCCATGCCCGCCTCCAGGACTTCTCCAGGGCTTCCCCCATCCTCTGGAACTCCCTACCCCAATCCATCAGACTATCACCTACTCTCCTCACCTTTAGGCGCACCCTGAAAACCTATCTCTTCAGGGAAGCCTACCCCGCCCTCAGCTAATTACTGAGCTCCTCCACTCTTCCTACCACTCCATCCCCCACAGTTATTTCCTCCTCTACCACTATCCCCTCCCTCCTAGATTGTAAGCTCCAAGGGGCAGGGCCCTCGAACCCCTCATGTATTGAATCGTATTGTTACTGTACTGTCTCGTGTACGGTCTCCCATTGTAATGTAAAGCGCTGAGCAAACTATTGGCGCTATATAAATCCTGTATAATAATAATAATAATGTATTTAGTTATAGAAACATTTTCACCAAAAAAATCACCCAATTCCAAGCAATTTTCAGCAAAGTGATATCAAGCAGTTTAGCTGATGCCTAATTCTGCTTTCTGTGTTCTACAAAGGCATGAATTCTTGAATTATTATTTAAAAATTTAAAAATTTATTTTCCTCATTTATCAACAGCTAAGTAATCAAATGAAAAAATATCACCTTAAGAAGCTAATAACCCCAATAACTAACTATGTAATGCTTAGAGATCAGGGTTATTAGCTTCTCATTTATGTGATATCTAATTGTCATTGCTACTAATCCTAATCTCTAAATATTTAATGTTCTCTCTGGAACTGAAATATTGCTGTTCCAATGGAACAAAATCCCTCATAAGGAAAGCTGGTAAACAGGTGAGCTATAGTCACCCAGGGGAAAAACTATGATATCAAAACTAATTTAAAGCCACCTTTCTGGGTGTTATATTTTATATAAATGAGCATATATATGAATGATAGCATTTTACGTTCATACACTTTAAAACGTGTTTTTATAGATAAGGTTAGCTGGTATGATATTGGTTACAACAACTTAAAATGCAGGTGTTCTTTATATAAATGATAATGCAGAAAACATAAAATTCTCCATAATCACTTTGTATATGTGTTCATGAGAAGATCTACAACTGAAAAAAAAAATAACCATTCAATGTCAGGCACAGGCAGTAAAAGATGTTTACAAATTTTACAGGTCATATGGATTTCACCATCCTTGGATTTTCTGTGCTTATGTCTTCTCCTATTGTTTCTTTGACAATCGTACTCATTATCTATGTTTTCAATGTGGTTGCAAACTCTCTAGTTATATTGACATCAGTAACTGACAACAAACTTCACAAACCTATGTACTTCTTACTGGGAAATCTCTCACTGGTTGACATGTCTTTTACATCAGTCACTTTACCAAAAACAATGCAACTCTCCCTTTCTCGGAAAAAGACCATCTGTTTTGTTTGTTGCATTGCACAGATGTATTTTTTTTTAGCAGTTGGTGTGACCGAGTCTTTTCTTCTTGCATTAATGTCATATGATCGCTGTCTTGCTATTTGTAATCCTTTAAGGTATCAGTTTATAATGACACAAAAAACCTGTACTATCATGGTTTTAGGTTGTTGGTTTGGAGGTTTCTCTAGTGTTCTTCTTCCCGTCATTCTTATATCCAAGTTGCCATTTTGCCAGTCTCATGATATCAATCATTTTTTTTGTGATGTCTCACCAATCATTCAGCTGGCATGCAGTGACATAGAGCAGCTTGAGATGTTTATATTCTTCACAGCAATTATTGTTATCCTTGGATCTTTTTCTGTAATAGTAATGTCCTACCTATGGATCTTAGTGACCATTCTAGAGATCAAAACATCCACAGGCAAGAAGAAGGCATTTTCAACATGTAGTTCCCACCTTACTGCTATTTTTATTTATTTTGGGACAATTATTTTTATGTATATTCGGCCCAAGTCTAAAAGTAACTTAAATATGGACAAGCAAGCATCAGTGTTTTACTCTGTTGTAACTCCAACATTAAACCCTCTTATCTATACTTTAAGAAACAATGAATTTAAAATTTCACTGAAAGGGTTATTCAGAAGATTTATTTCATCTTAATTTTTATAGCCATAATTTTCTAAATGCCTTCTTCAATTCATGTTTATGCAAAGAAGCTGGTCTTTATCAGATGGTTATCACTGGGGCAGGAATTAAATCTCCCAAGTAAAGATGCAGAAAGCAATTCAAACTTGACAGAGGTTCAAATACTTCCCAACCCTACTGAAAACTGAAAAAGTATCACTATATTCACACACTCAGGGTCTGACCTTTAGAAAAAAATATCAGTGTCTGATTTTTTAGCTAAGGGTTTATAAATATTTTTATTACCTGTGAAAAGAAAATGTGAATGGACGTGAGTGTACCCATAGGCATTCAAGGACAGTCAGGCAAACATTAGATTTTTGACTGCTTTCTGGGACTACTGTCACCCAGTGAACACATAAACATAGCAGCCTGGCTTGGATAATGGGTGCTCTTATACAGCTGCTGTTATCTGGGTAATGGACAACGCCAGTGCTTATTTATTTTATCACACAGAGTTAGTTTTACGGTTAAATTATCAGTTTTCTATATTAAAATATACAAAATCTGTATGGATATCATATGTGCACACTGATCTTAAAGCAGAGTTCCACCCTTTTTTTAATGTCCCTCTGTTAATACGGTTCCTGTGATGTCCAGCACGATTAGGATAATCATATATTGTTTTTAATATTGTAAATACCTGTAAATAATGTGCAAAGATGGCACTTCCGGTCCCGGCCGCCAAGGCGATGACGTATTTAGGTGATTTGCAATGTCTCCTGGGATGTCGGGTCCTGTATCCCAGGAGTCCTTTGGGTTCCTAGTTGCTGACTATCGTGTTAACTCAAAACTAGAAATGATGCGAATGGGAGTTTGGCACCTATCCGTGGGGATGAAGTGTTACAGCTGTGCTGCGGACTTTGCTGGGCTATGTAAAATATGGGCTACGCTAAATAAATTTTTTCATAAAATAAAAATGTAAAGTTAGTGTCGCGGGGCTTGCTCCTTTGGCAGACAGTACTTGCCTTGCCCGTGGTTTGTTTTGATGGACAGGTTGCCATAACAGGGTGGGAACTTCCGCTGTTCCTGCCATTGTTATGGCAACCTGTTGTATACAAATTGCGCCGAGCAGTGTCATTACTGTGCAGGCGCGAGATCGAGAGGTGCATGCTGGGTTAGCTAGCAGCATCTACTCCCGGAAATATAGACCTGTGGGCTTCATATGCCCACATCCATCATGGTGCCTGCCTGCTTCCAAGATCAAGGTAAACAGTTACTTATTTACAACTAATAAAAAGGATATCATCTAAAACTTTATTAACCTCCCTAGCGGTATTCCCGAGTGTAGCTCGGGCTTACCATGCGGCGCTGCATAGGGAGTCCCTGCAGAGCTTACCTTGTCCTTCGCTCCAGCGATGTACCCCCTGCAGCGTCCCCGGCCATCTCCTCCGGCCGATGCCGGCATCCAGCTTCTGTGTTTCGGTCCCTGTGCCGTCGGGACGTACGGGCGCCGGCGGGAAATTTTTAAAATTTTAAAAATTTTCATTTTTTTCTAAACAAATTTTACATAGCAAAACATTGCTGTTTCAACCCATTTCACATACATTTTGTCCCTAGTGCTTTGTCCTGTGCCCTGCCTGCATTTTGTCTGTTCTTTCTGCTTGGAAACTGAGAAAAGTCCATGGCGTCCAAAAAGTGTCCCTTTAGGTCAAAAGCGGGTTTAGATCAGCTAGAGAACAGCGATAGTAAATCAGAACCACTTGCAGAATTGAGTGATAATGATTCGTGGGGAAATTGGTCATCAGACACTGAAAACGATTTTGCGACTTTGCTCAGCAATGTGCGAACTTGGTGCTCTATTTCAAATTTCAGTGTTTTTGGTTTGATTATATTATTGAATTAAATGTATTATTATTATATTATTATTTTTTATGATTATTTATTAAATTATAATTTATGATTTCGTGTTTCAAATTTTATCATACCCGGGATGTTTACTAGACTCTTGTTCGGACAGATTTCAGTGAGTTATTCCTAAAAATTACAGCCTACAATAAAAAAACTACATATTTCCATGCAAAATAATGGTACCGCTTTCAGCACCAAAAATCTGAAATAATCAGACCGCTAGGGAGGTTAATTTATTAATGATAACGATCAAACAATACTGGGTCAGCTTTTTAAAAAAATATGTTATGGGGACTGGAGCTCTGCTTTAACATCAAGGATAAATTTCAGATTTGAGCTGGGGTTAAGGCAAAACCTGTGTGTTTGAGGTTCATGGTCCTGGTAAATTTATATTGAATTTTGTCAAAGCAAATTCTTTACAACCATAATGCACTACATGGCCATTAAACTTGAGTCAGCTGGCTTAGAGGGGCCAATAATGGAGGCTTTGTTATGTTCCAGTGCATCTCTGAAAGAGTAGATTCTCTGCATCATGAATTGATGATTTTTGTTCAAAACTTGGCAAATCCTATTGACATTTATGGAGGGAGGGATTTTGTTATTAAATTCTAGCCATTTAAGGCTAATAGAAGAATTTTAAAATAAATGCAAAAGTTGGGCACTACCTAGCATTGACCAATGCAAAAAACAAAATACAATATAACAGGAAAGAAGTCATCTGTGGGTATATTTGTGAATACAGAGGTTTTCTATCTGCTGTTTTTTTTTCATTATTGGGATGAACTAGATGGAATCTTTTTTTTTTTCAGCCTGGCTGACTATGTAATTATGTAACTCTTTTCATGCGGTCTTGAGGAAAAAACACTGAAAATAATCAAATTCTTTAATCCTGTTGCTGCCAGGCTCTGCGCTCCACTTTTAAACTCAAATTGTCATACCATATATTACTATTTTTTTATATAATACTACTTTTTCATCATGTTTCACAATTTTTACTTATAACCTTGGAAGTTTATAAAATACACCACAAATCATATATTTTCTTAAAGCACAGAACCCATAGAATAAAAGAAGAAAATGGGAAACCAAAAGGTGATGGATTTCTTTACTCAGCCAACAGTACAAGAGTAGCTAAGATAGTGGCAGTTGTTCTCCTGCTTCAGCCTCCAGTCACTCCTCCATGAAAGGCAGATGAGAGGATGAAAGTCTAGCAGCCTGAGCAGTGCTGAGAAAAAGGAATTCAGCAACCAGGAAAGATGAAAAACATTGCTTCCCCCCTCTCCAGGTAGAAAGGGGAACAAGGCCAATAGCAGTACACACCAAAATGCATATAATGGGCTGAAATACTAGCAATAGTTGTGATACACTGCAATGAAATAAAGAGTTTAAAATTCAGTACACAACTTTGAGGTGAACATCGGTGAAAGAATGAATGTCCCTGAGTCGGTGGTGCCACTGAAAGGATAAAAAATATCCCATTACCGGTGGTGTAACTGAAAGGAAAAAAAATGTCCCAGTATCTGTGATGTCACTGAAATGAAAAAATGTCCTTGTATTGGTGGTGTAACTGAAAGAAAAAAGACCCTGCATCTGTGGTGTCACTGAAAGGAGAAATGTGTCTATGGTTCCACCGCAAGGAAAACAATGCCTCATGCTTTAGTGGTATTGCTAAGAGGAAAAATGGCACTGCATCAGACTCAGTGGAGAAAAAAATGCTCCTATGTCAATGGTGTCTCTTTCGAAGGAAAGAATGTCCCTCTGTTGGAAGTACACTGAAAGAAAAAAGTCCATTGGTTGGTGGTGTTGCTAAAAAGAAAAATGGCTCTGCATCAGTGTCATTGGAGGGAAAATATACCTGTGTCCACGGTGTCAAACTGAGGACTGCTTTGGAATATATGTCAGTGGGATAGATGTGAAGATAGCTTGGAGGTAGGCTCTGTGCAGTGCATGACAAAGGATCTGGTGGGGTTTTGATGGAGGAATGGGGTGGGACTGAATGGCTGAAAGGGAGGGAGGAGGATAGGGGGCTTTTGATGGGTTCTGAGGAGGAATGGGGAGGCCTAGGGCTCATGTCACCTTCAGTATATTCACTCACTTCACTGTAGTTCATTCAACTTCTCAGTGAGGCACCTACTGGAAATGTAGGCAGTTTCTTCTTCTTCCTGGCTCAGGCTTGTGAAATGTCACATGACAAGGGAAGACAGAATGAGAGGGAGGCTTGTTCTCAGTGAGTGCTCACTCTTCTACCCACAGCAGACTGCTATTGGAGGGAGGAGAGAGAGCAGAATCTTCCCTCCAGCAGCTATCAGCCCCAGTTTCTTCTGACAGGCAGGGCTTTTGTTCTCAGAGAAAAAGGGTAGGTACTCACTTCCCCCACCAAACAACTACTCCCCCCAATCCAAACCCCCAAGCTTCCCAGGGAAAGAAGCTAAGTGCCAGTTGTGGCCAGGGCTTCGAACTGCAAATCACAAGGAACAAGTTTAAGGAATGCATATCATGCAGGTCTTAGGAATGTGCATCACACAGGTTTCGGGGGCGCATATCATGCAAAGCTCAGGAGTGCGTATTGCTCAGGGCGCTAGGACAGGAGTGGGTAACACAAAATTCTTCTCTAACCCTACACAACTATTAACTACCCCCTCCGAACCTAAAAAAAAATATATAACTACAGTGCTGTTACTCTAATAATCATAGACCCTGAAAATCAAATCCAAATCAATACCAATACAAATAAAGTGATAACTATAAAGTGCCTTGAAAAAGTATTCATACCCCTTGATATTGTCGACATTTTTCCATTTTACAACCAACAACGTAAATGTACTTTATTGGGATTTTATGTGATAGACCAACACAAAGTGGCACATAATTGTGAAGTGAAAGGAAAATGATAAATACTTTTCAAAACTTTTTACACATAAATATCTGAAAAGTGTGGCTTGCATGTGTATTCATCCCCCTTTACTCTAATACCCCAAACTAAAATCTAGTGGAACCAATTGCTTTCAGAGTTCAACTAGTTAGTAAATAGTACACCTGGGTGTAATTAAATCTTTGTATACAGTGTGGAAAATAATTATTTGATCCCCTGAAGATTTTGTAAGTTTGTCCATCTACAAAGAAATGAAGGGGAAGGGTCCATAATTTTTATCATAGCTGTATTTTAAATGATAGCGACAGAATATCAACCAAAAATCCAGAAAAAAAACATGATACATATGTTATAAATTGAGTTGCAGTTCAGTGAGTAAAATAAGTATTTGATCCCCTACCAATCAACAATAATTCTGGCTCCCACTGACTGTGCTCATGTGGTACACAGATTAGTCCTGTCAATTTAAGAAGGTACTCCTAACGACAACTTGTTATGTGCATAATGACACCTGTTCACAGAATCTCGTTCTTGGGCACCACTGTGAGCAAGACCAAAGAGCTGTCAAAGGACATCAGGGACAATATTGTAGACATGCCCAAGGCTGGAATGGGCTACAAGACCATAAGCAAGAAGCTTAATGAGAAGGAGACAACTGTTGAAACGAAATAATTCGCAAATGGAAGAAATACAAAGTAACCATCAATCACCCTCAGTCTAAAACAGGGGTCTCCAAACTTTCTCAACAAAGGGCCAGTTCACTGTCCTTCAAACTTTAGAAGGACTGGACTGTGACCAGCAGGAGCAAAACATGATATTAGGGGGGATTAGTTTTACATTATTGGTATTGGTGGGAGGAATAGTGCCCCATCATTGGTATCAGTGGGAGGAATAGTGTCCCATCATTGGTGTCAGTGGGAGGAATAGTGCCCCATCATTGGTGTCCCCATTGTCAGTGGCAGGAACTATGCTCCACTGTTGCTGACAATGGGGGGAATAATTGTCCAAGGGCTAGATAAAAGCAGGCAAAGGGCCTTCATGTTGTGGGGATGCAAAAGACTTGAGACTGGGCCGGAGGTTCACCTTCCAGCAGGACAATGATCCTAAACATCCAACCAGAGCTACAATGGCATTGTTTAGATCAAAGCATATTCATGTGTTAGAATGGCCCAGTCAAAGTCCAGACCTAAATCCTATCAAGAATCTGTGACAAGACTTATAAATTGCTATTCACAGACGTTCTTCATCCAATCTGACAGAGCTTGAGCTACTTGGCAAAGAATAATGGACAAGAAGTTCACTCTCTAGTCCCCAATAAATGCTTAAACAAACTGAGGTCTGCAGGCATGGACCATAGGGTTTGTTCATGGATATAAAACTGGTTACAGGGGTGTGTCCAAAGAGTGGTGATAAATAGTATGTACTCAGACTGGTCTGGAGTGGTAAGTGGGGTACCCCCAAACTCTGTCCTGGGACCAATTCTGTTAAATTTATTCATAAATTATACTGATGTTGGGGTAAATAGCTCACTCTCAGTGTTTGCTGATGATACAAAGCTAAGCAAAGCAATAACATCACAGAAGGATATAGAAACTTTACAAGAAGACCTCAATAAAATAAAGGGGTGGGCAAATACATGGCAAATGAGGTTTAATGTTAAAAAATGTAATGTAATGCACTTGGGGGCTAAAAAATATGAATGCAAGTTTCTCGCTAGGAGAAGCTTTGGGGAAATCCAGGACAGAAAAAGATCTGGGTGTCCTAGTAGATGACAGACTCAGCAATGGCATGCAAAGCCAAGCTGCCAAGCAAAGCTAGCAGAATATTAGCATGTATAAAAAAGGGTATTTACTCAAGAGTAGTGTTGGGCTAAATGCTCAAGTTGAACCTAAGTTCGACTTGAACATTGACCATTTGTGTGTTCGCTGAACATACGAATGGTACGGGCATTCAGCAAGCTGTTCTCTCACTGAGCCCCACAATGCACTGCAC